ATGGCCCCGCCCTCCGCCCTACACAGCTCCAGGGTCTCCTCCTGGGCCCCGCACTTTTCCCACTGCGGCTGCAGGGTCACCCTGACCTGTGGCGGGGAGGCGGCCCCAGACCTCTGACCTGCTGAGACAGCCCATGGCGTCTCGGAGCCCAACCTCAAGCCAAGGGCAGCTCGGCCACCGCAGGCCACAGAGGAGAAGCGATGACACTCCAGTGTCCCCAGAGCAGGTGGGGACAGGGATGTAGGACCTGCCAGCTGCCCCGCTCACATGGAGGAGCTCCATGTGGGGGCAGTAGGGAGCCACGGAGGGTGTGTGAGCCGAGCGAGGGTGTGTGAGCCGAGCGGGGCAGGGTCGGATTCACTGTTGGACGGACGTCCCTGCTCTGTCCCTGTCTGTCTGCTGGACTGCGTGACAAAGGAGCAGATGGGGCGGCCTGAGGACAACAGCTCTGGAGCGTGGGAAGCCCAGGCCACTGGCGGTTCAGACGGTCCGCTGGGTCCTCGTGCCCTGGAAGGGACTCGGCGGGTCTCCTGGTCTCTAAGGTGGGCCTTCGTCACCTCCCCAAGGCCCACCTCCCAGGGCCACCTCCTTGGGACTTGTGGGGACATGAACATCCAGGCCCAGCAGCGCCACCTGTGCACCCTCGCAGGGACTCGCTGGGCAAACCCAGCTGGAAGCGCCAGGCCCGTTTCTGTCACCTCCTTCCAGGTCCTCCCTCAGCACGTCACATTGTCACATGGGCTACAGGCCCCGGGCTGTCCCCTCCCCAGGGCTGTGTGACTACACACCACCCTCCTGGGTGGCCTCGAACCGACGCCCCACAGACACAGTGGACACAGAAGCCCAGAGGAGGGACACCCTCTCGGGGCCCTTTCCGACCCAGGGCTCCTCCTTTCCGACTCCTGAGCCCTCACTGACTCCACCCCTGCCCCCCGCCAGGTTCTCCCGGGAGTTGCCCCTCTGTGGTCACGGGACAGGGCGCCCCAGGTCAGGCTGGGCTTCCAGGGAGTCTGGAACAGGGCCTGGGTGGCTTCAGGGGATCAGGTCCCGAGAAACAGAACTGGGCGGGTTCCTTCTGAACATGCTGCAGGACTGTCCCCAAGAGGGCAGGACTGTCCCCAGGAGGGCAGCCCCAGCTGATTCTCCCACAGCAACAGGGCCAAGGCCTCTCAGCAGAAATGCAGACGCCTAGAGGACCCAGGTCCCACCTCAAGGAGGGAAATGCCTCTGCACCCTGTAGTAGGGTGAATGGTGTACCTCCAGAACTCACAACCACCTAGAACCCCAGAATACGATGTTGCTAAGAAATAAGGTTACAACCGGGGTGTGCTGGGGCACATCTCTACTCCCGGCTACAGAGGAGGCTGAGGCAGGAGGATCACAAGTTTGAGGCCAGCCTCAGCAACTTAGTGAGACCCTGTCTCAAAATAAAATAAAAAGGGCTGGGAGTGAAGCTCAGTGGGAGAGAGCTTGCTCTGCGTGCGCGAGGCCCTGGCTCATCCAGTGCTGCGGAAGAAGAAAGAGTGTAACTTCCGATGAAATTAGTTAAGACCCATTCATTCAAACTGGGTTGTCCCAAAGTCACTTAGAAGACTGGCATCCTAAGATGAAAGGAATGAGAGAAGGAACAGAGGGGGCCGCCTGGAGGGAGGCTGCCACTAGCCAAGGAACCCCGGCAGGAAGACCCTCCCCCAGAGCTCCCAAGGCAGCATGGCCCTGGGACCCCCGACTCCAGCTCTGACCATCAGTGAGTGAGGACATAAATTCCTGTCGTTTTTAAGCCCCTCCGTTTGGGGTCATTTGCTTCGCAGCCCTAGAAAACCAGCAGAAGGAGCAAGTGCCGGCTGGACATGGCCTTTGGTTTGGCAGCGTCCCCTTGTGCCAGCTCTCCGGTGCCAGCTCCTGCAGCCTTCCAAGCCAGCTCTTCGCACTGGGTGGGGGGCCGTCCATGCTGCAAGCCCTGGAGGAAACCGCCCGGCTCCCCTTTGCAGCCCTAGCACAGAGCACAGGACCCCACAATGGGGCACTCAGAGAATGGCCACATAATTTCTCTTTTGATGCTTTGTCAGAATTTTGTCTCTTAATGTTAAAAAATGCAAAGTTTTAAAAAAAAGTTACACAAGGAAAGGAACAACACACTTTCTTTTTTCTTTTGGCACTGGGGATTGAACCCAGGGCCACTTAATCACTGAGCCACATCCCAATCCCATTTTAAAAATATTTTTCTTTAAGACAGAGTCTCTAAGTTGCTGCGGCTGGTTTTGAACTCGCGATCCTCCTCCTCAGCCCCAGATAAGGAACAGGGCCAGGCTCCACCCGGATCCCAGACGCCTGGCTCTTGGAACTTGTGATACAAAGCGTTATTTAGTGTCTCTTCTAGCTCTTTGGCCAAACTTGTCCCTCTGCCTAGTCACACTGGACCACCGACGTAGAACTGGAGAGTGGTGTGGCCCAGGTGGCACCTCAGGACACCCATCAGTCCCCGGACAACTGCAGAGGGCAAGGCGAGGCCCTGAGTGACCCCACCCACAAAGGCGAGGCTCGGGCGGTGGGCGGGGCCCTCTCGGCGTGATCCCCGGCGGCGCCCGTAGCCGCAGTTCAGGAGGTGGGCGCGGCCCTCTCGGCATGACCCCCGGCGGCCCCCGTAGTTCTCACCCGGTAGAGGCCGTACGTGCTCTCGGCGTGCTCGAAGGGTACCAGCCGCTCGTCGCAGAAACCCAGCGTCCACCGCGCTAGGCTGGCGGGCCCGGCGGGGGCGGCGGCGGCGGGTAGCTCCCGGGCCAGCATCGACACGAGGCTGCCGCCCGACAGGCCGAGCGCGAAGCGACCCTGGGTCCCTTCCAGGCAGCACGCAGCCCGCTGCGCCACCAACTGCGCTAATGACGCGCCCAGTTCCTGCGGGCTCGAGAACACCGAGATGAGGCCCGAGGCGGGCGCGGCCATGGCGACGGCGGGGCGGCAGGGAGACGGAAGCGCTCCCGGCGGCGGCCAGTGCGCCTGCGCGAAGGCCAACACCTGTCTGAGCTCTTGGATCGGTCTGCGCTACGCACATGCGCAGTCCGGCAGGTGAAGCCCCGACAGGGAAGGGCGATGTCTTCTGTGCCCACCCTTTGAATCTTTGCGAGCTATGCCTGAGCCCTTCCCTGAGCTGGCTTAGGAGGAGCTCGGAGGCAGGCCTGCGTCCCCACAGAAGGGGACATGGGGTTGGGATGGCGTGAGGAGATTTGGGAAGGTTTCCTGGAGAAGTGATATTTTGGTGGGCTTTGACATCTGTTAACTTTATTTATCTGTTACATTTGTTGTCTCTGCTAATTAAAATATAAGCTCCCTAAGAGTCAAGGTGTTTGTTTTGTTTTATTCATTGATGCCTGGCGAGCCTCCAGAACTGTGTCTGACACAGAGTAGGAGCTCAGTACATCTGTTGAATTGCGTTAGCAAACACTGGAGGCTGCTGGGTCCCTCCGAGGACCCAAAAAGCCCTCCCGCCTGATTGCACCTGACGAGCTCCATGACTTGGCTAAGGAGGGATTTGAGGCTGCAAGGCCTGGGGGTGTAAGGAGCGGCTCCTTCCAGTGCTGAGGTAATTCGGTGGAGTATAGTTAAGTGCAATGAGACTCACTCAGTGCATTTTAAAATCAGTGTCAAAACAATTCCATTTGCCATAGCATCACAGAGAATAAAATACTCAGGAGTAAACAACAGAAGTGCAAGACCTGTACACTGAAAATGAAGATTTCACTGAAGAAAGTTAAAGATGTTCATGGAAAGACGTCCCATGTTCATGGATTGGAAATAAGATGGCAGTACTCCCCAAGTTGTAGAGATGCAGAATAATCACTATCAAAATGCAAACTTTTTTTTTTTTTTTTGTAGAAATTGAAAAGCTGGTCCTAAAATTCACAAGGAATTCACACTTCCTAGTTTTAAACTTACTACAAAGCTACAGTATTCAGGCCAGTGTGGTATTGGCCTAAAGACAGACATGTAGATCAGTGAGTAGAACTGTAACAAGGACTGATTATCTTCATTTGTGTCTGCAGTTGTCTGATGGGTAGCTAAAACCAGGATTAAAGACTTGGCATCTCTGTCCCGGTATTGCATCTGTCTCCTGTGCTCTGAGTCACCACGTGTAAAGATTCAACCTCACTGATAAACAGCGTGAGATGAGTTGAAGCTGTCCTTTCTTATTGTGGACGAGGCTCCACTTGACCAATCCTGAGATAATGATGGGCAGCCCACACCTCAAGATCATCTGCTTTGGCAGCTGTGAAAAGCCTCCAACTGTACAAACCCCAAGTGCTTGCCCTCATTCTGCTTTCTGTAGAAACTCAAAGTCATTGTCAGTCCCTTGAAGACATGGCTAAGGACATGATTCTAATCAGTTCATTTCACACCTTTCTCCTTTTCTGTTTGGTGTTTGGGGCTGGAGGCCAGAGCTGCTTGGTTGGATCTCCAGAGTCAGGCCTCAAGCAACAGAACTGAGATGCAAAAATAAACTCATGTTGTGGTCAGTCTTTAACCAGGGGCCAGGTCTCTTCAATGGGGAAAAATGTCTCTTCAGGGCTGAGTGTGTGGCTCAGAAGTAAATTGCTTGCTCAGTCAGCATTTACTGGGAAAAAACAAAGTCTTTTCAATACATGGTGCTGGAACAATGGGATAGCCACCCAGAGAAGGAGGCTGGACTCTGCTACATAGAATAATGCCCCCCACAAGATGGCCACCCCTAACCCTCTGAATACGTAAAGGTATGAGGATAGTTTACAAGGGGGGACTGTGATGGCAGATGAAATTAGGTTGATACCCAGTTGTCCTTAAATAGGTTTTCTGGATGGCCCAAGGTAACCAAAAAAGTCCTTATAAATAGAAGAGCAAAGCAGAAGAGGGATGCCCAGAGGGGTGATGGTGTCAGGAAGACCCAGCCCTCTGTTACTAGATGGACATGGAGGCCCAGAGCCAAGAGCTGCAGGTAGTCCCAAAGCTGGAAAAGGCAAGGAAATAGATTCTCAACCAGAGCCTCTAAACATACAGCCTGCAGACACCCTGGTTTTAAGTGAAATCCATTTCTGACATCCAGTGTTTAGGCCTGTAAGATATGTGTTATTTTAAGCCCCTGTGTTTGTGGTCATTTTGTTACAGCAGCTAGAAAACTGATACAGATCCGCACCTCACACTGTATACAAAAATTAACTGAAAATGTATTCAAGACCAGCGACAAGGCCCTGGGTTCAATCCCCAGCTCCATAAAACAAACAAAATACTAGTGATAGTCGCACAACCTTGTGAATATACTAAAAGCCATTAAATTATTCATTTTAAGAAGATGAATATTATGGATGTGAATATTTCAACTGAAGAAATACAGAGGTGACCAGGTGGAGTGCAGGGGTGGAGAGAAATGGTGTCCCACACGTGGAAGACAGCAGGAGCCAAGATGCAAAACCCGGTGCTGGCTGGAAGCCACTGGCGAGGTGGAAGGAGTCTGAGGGGCGCCCGCTGCACCTGGATCCCTCCCCGGAGAGGGACCGGGGCCCTTGGAGGGAGCAGGCCAGGGCCCCTTCTCTCCCCCACGGGCCTCGGTGCCCTGCACTCTCCTCCTGGTGTCCCCTCCAGCATTCCTCAGCCACGTGCTGCTCCGTCCCTGCTCTCAGGGCCACCTGCCTATGCCAGGCTCCCACATCAAAGGTACAAATGTCCCTCTGTGCAGATCATCCCAGGGCCTCCCACAAAGAAGGGGCTTGGGCCGAGTCCTTCTGATCCTGGCTGTCTTCTCCAGGTTGAGGGGCACGGGGGCGTCATGGAGCTTCCCATTGGGCAGATGAAAAACTCCAGAACTGGGCTGGGGATGTGGCTCAGCGGTAGTGCGGCCCGGGTTCGATCCTCAGCACCACATACAAACAAAGATGTTGTGTCTGCCGAGAACTAAAAAATAAAATATTCCTGCTTTTCCTTTAAAAAAGAAAAGAAAAGAAAAACTCCAGAACTGGCTGGTCGCGATGGCCCACACCTGCCATCCCAGCAGCAGGGAAGCTGAGGCAGGAGGATCGTGAGTTCAAAGCCAGCCTCAGCAAAAGCGAGGTGCTAAGCAACTCAGTGAGACCCTGTCTCTAAATAAAATATTAAAAGGGCCGGGATGTGGTTCAGTGGTCGAGTGCCCCTGAGTTCAATCCCTGGTACCAAAAAAAAAAAAAAAAAAAAAAAAAAAAAAACCTCCAGAACTCTCCAGGGCTGGGTGCAGCCCAGTGGTGAGTGGGTGCTGGGCATGCAGGAGGTCCTGGGTTCCAGCCCAGCACCTCCAAAATCAAGTCAAAACTGGAGCAGCTAGCCACAAGGAGGCACGGTGGAGACCGACAGGCATTTTGCCAGCGAAAGCCAAATTGAGAAGCAGGCGGCGGCTGCTGCCACCATGGGAAAGCAAGAGCAGCACCTGCCAGGCGACAGGGAGGGCTGAAGAGCCGAGCACAGGGACTTTTAGGACAGTGGAGCTGTTTTGTGTGACATAGGTTGAGCATCCCTAATCCAAAAAAAAAAAAAAAAATGAAATCTGAAATGCTCCAAAAATTTTTTAATGCATTTTTTTCTTTTCTGGGCGCGGAGCAAGCCAGGGCCTCGGTGTACCAGGACCTGCTCCACTGCGGAGCTACCTTCCCACCCCCAGAGCAAACTCCTAGAGCAAACTATGCCACGGGGGAAACGGCACACCACGGAACTGGGTTTCATGCACAAAATTATGAACGATTTTAGCTGGAGACTGTGCCCTTGTCGGTAATCCCAGCTGCTCAGGAGACTGGGGCAGAAGGACCCCAGTCTGAGGCCAGCTTAGAAGACCCTGACTCAAAATAAAGAAAATAACAGGGCTGCAGCCGGAGCTCATGGTCGGGCACCGCCACGCACGTGCGAGCCCGGGTTCCAACCCCAACACACACGAAACCCCAGAGCTTGATCCTAAGGTCCTCAGGGTGTGTCTCACCCCTGGAGGGGCCTCCTGAACACAAGTACATAACAGTCACAGGCTTTGGGACAGGAAAAAGGGATGCTGGGACACCTTCTTGCCAGGTGCTCTTGGCAAGGACTGCATTTCCCTGCACCTCGTTCCTGGAGTTGAGAGACGGGGTCCTTGGGAAATCATTAGATCCACCAGGGCGGGGCCCCATTTTGAGTCCTGATGGCTTAATAAGAAGCGGGGGGCAGAGAGAGACAGACAGACAGGCTCCTGCCATGATGGATGCAGCCAAGAGAGACCCTCACAGGGACTGCACTGTGCTGTTTGGACCTCCATCCTCCAAAACCATGAGCCAACTGAACCTCTTTTCTTTATAATGTAGGCTGCCTCAGGTACTTCACTGTAATAACAAAAAGCTGACTTTTTTTTCTGGTAGGTATCCAGCTTGACCTTACCACAGCCATCTTGAGCCATAATTGCCATGACTGTCCCTCAGTAACCTGGTGTTTTTTCACCAGTTTCTCAGCAAACTGTACACAGAGCTGCTGAAGTGCGATGCGGAGCTTCACAAGAGCCTGGCTCCAGCGCTCCAGGGCTGGGCCTGGTGTCTTTGATCCTAGCTGGAGATGAGCCAGGCGCACGCCGTCCGTCCTGACCACGAGAAGCCCCTTCCTCTGACCCGACTGTGGGGTCCACCCGGCTTCTGCACCACGGGAGTGAAGGACAAGGAGCCACTGGGCTTCCGGCAGGTGCCAGATGCTCTGCAGGTTTATTTCTTAAAATCCACTAGGGAACAAAAGCCCTGCGTGGAGCTGTTGCCAGGCAGGGTGGGGACACTCGCCACTGCCACCCCGCTCAGGGCTGGACGGTGCTGCTGCAGGAGGGTAATGTGCATCTGGGTGGCCACTGCAACTGGCTGGCACATGGGTCCAAGATGAGCCACCAGTGAGAGGAAGGGAGCGAGGGAGCTGCCCCAAGGGGACTGCACAGATGTCACCAACAACATAAGGTCTGACCGTCACTAGCAGAACCCCTGGGACCCTCAGGAGTGGCTGCTGGGAGTATGTCTGACAGGCTGGAACCCCCCTGAGGCCCTCAGGTGACACCCCCTGGCAGGAGATCTCCCTGACACCACTGCTGCCCTCTCCCAGGTCCTTCCAGCAGTCACACAAGTGGGGACACACAGGGCCTTTGCCAGGGACAGGAAGCAGGGGGCTGGGTAGCCCGGACAGTCTTCAGGGCCCCTTAGAGGGCGCTCTGAGGAGACACCTGAACAGAGACATCTAGACAGAGGTGGGCAGGGGCACATTCAAGTTGTCACAGTTCATTCTGGAAGCTTCCAGGGCATCGGAAGGGGAATGGGGGAACCAGGAGGGTCAGGGATGGCAAAGTGCAAAAGGGCAGCAGCCCAGACAGGAGACTCCGCGGACGGGGCCAGGCACCTGGATGGGCCCCTCGTTCCCGGGGAGGGCGGGGCCTCTTGGAGCCCTAAACATCTGGAACCAGCGCAGCGGGAGGCCTGGGCGGTTCCTAAGGCACAGAAGGACGGGACGCCTGCTCCAGGTCCAGGGACACAAGACAGGGATGAGACCTGGAGAGCAGCTGGGCCCTGCGCACACGGAGCTCCCGGGAAGCGCGGAGACGGTGCCCAGGGGCAGGGGCGCGGAGTAGCAGGACGCTGAGGCTCGGTCCCTCGCACCCTGCAGACGGCCGGCATGTGGCTAGTGGCTGGGCAGGAGGGGCAGCCCCGGGACAGGGCCCACCAGACTCAGCGGGGTCTCAGCTGGCAGGGAGGGACCTCAGAGGGCAAAGGCGCCCGAGCAGATGCGGGTGTAGACGCCCTCGTCCAGGGGCAGGTAGTGGCCTTGCTTCAGGTCCAGGAAGAAGAGCCGGTCCGCGGTCTGGCGGGGGTCGAAGCCCTCGCGCTGCAGCCTGGTCTTCTGGATCTTGAAGGTGCCTGTGGAGGGGGACAGGAGCCTGGGAAAGGCGCTCCCAGGGCCCAGTTGCGCTCCCTCTCGGGTTCCTCCTGGCCTTTCCCACTCTGGCTGCCTCTGGTGGCTCAGCCCCCTCCTCCAGGAAGGGCTCCCTGATCACCCCATCGCAGAGAAGCCACTGTGCCCTGGCCCCGTGCAACCCCCACCCTGAGGCAGGGCTGTGTCTGTCACACAGAGGAATGGAGCCCAGCAGCCGAGGCCCTGTGGGCCACATGTGGCCCGCCACTTGTTTGTCAATAAAGTTTTATTGGCCCAATCCCTGAATATTCATTCATGCATCGTCCATGGCTGCTTTGGCACCATAATGGCAGTTGAATAGTTGCATCGGAGACTCTAAGAAAAACTGCACCTGCCCTAAACATGGACAGACTTTGTTCTCGTCAACATTCCCTAATAACATAGTATCAACTCTGCGCACAGGACTTCCCTTGTATTGGGCGTTCTAAGTCATCTAGACGGGACTGACAGTCTATGGGAGGACGCTGCAGGTTCTGTGCAAATACCACACCCTTTCATAAAAGGGACGTGAGTCTCCAAATGTGGGTATCCACAGGGATTCTGGAACCATCCCCGGTGGACACTGGGGAATGACTGAACTGAACTGTAAAACCCCAAGAACACCAAGCCCAGGGCCGGTGGGAAGGCTCGCTCTGGGCAGCTGCTTGGGGGCAGCGAGTTTGCCAAACATCCTTAGCAGATAGTTCCTCACTCGACTGTGGTACACATGGGGTGGTGACAGGGTCAGACCTCGTGGTACTATCACAAGGACATGAGGAGGGGACAGAGAAGCAGAAGTCCAGTGTGCATTTCACAGGAAGACAGATCTCAATTCTTTAAAAACCACAATGCAGGTTTCTGGGGCCAACCTCAGTTTTAGAGCACGTTTCTAGCATAACTGAGGCCCTGAGTTCCAACCACAGAAAAAGAAAAATAGATAAATCGATGATAGAGCCATAGACCTATCTCAGAACAAAGGCACAAACAGAGCAAGACACATGCATTCAAGTCCCAGCTCTGCCACTTGCTGGCTGGGTGACCTCGGGCAGATTACTTGGCTTCTCGGTGCCTGTTTCTTTATCAAATGGGGTTGATGGTAGCACTTACTCCATAGGAGGTTGAGAGGTAAATGAAAAGAGATGTGTACAACTTTTGGTGCATAGCATTATGTAAATATTTGCTATTTATCATGGTTAATTGAACTAAAAATATGACATACACAAACAGCTGAAGAACTAACACCTAAATCATTACAAGGAATTCCTACCAATCAAAAAGAAAATGAAGGTAGGCATGGTGGCTCATGCCTGTAATCCTGGCAACTCAGGAGGCTGAGGTAGGAGGATCACAAATTTGAGGCCAGCCTCAGCAACTTAATGAGACCCTGTCTCAAAATGACAAAGGAAAAAAAATATGCTGTGGGTGCCGTGGCTCAGCAGTATAACGCTTGCCTAGCATGTGCGAGGCCCTGGGTTCACCACCAGTACTGAAGGGAGGAAGAGAGGGATGGACGGACGGAGGGAGGGAGGGAGGGAGACAGGGAGGCAGGAAATGACATGGGCCAACACAAAACAGGGTGAAACCTGTGAACAGGCAATTTACAGAGAGCAACCTGAAAGGTTCGAGGTAGTCACTTGAACTTCCCAGAAAATGAAAAGACGCGCCCACATCTCAGGAGGGCGAGTGGACTGGGTGTGGGGAGAGGAGAGGTGACCATGTACGTAAGACGAGAAGGCGCACAGGAGAGCAGGGCCAGCGGCCGTGGACCATGCGTCACAGGGGCCCCGGGCTTGACTCAGGAAGATGACTAAATGGTGGCTGCGCCAACACAGGTGGGGGATGGACAGCAAGGTGGGGTGATCACACCTGTGGTGTCCACCTGAGGCAGGAGGCGCAGGAAGATGGGCCGGGCGTAGGGTGCCAGCACTTTCTGCAGCTCCTGGTACATGGAGTTGGGGTTCAGCTGGCTGTGGGGGTCTGCGATGGCTGCCATGCCTGCTTTTCCCTCCACTCCTAGAGACAAAGGTGCAGCTGAGAGCCCCCCACCACTGCCAGGTAGCCCTGGCTCTCTCATCTCCCGTCCTCCCCACCTGGGATCACATTTGCCAAAGCAAAAAACATTTTATAAAGCTCTTGCTCCACCCCCTGAGCCCCTCAGGAAGGATGCTGTCATGATCCCGTTTTCTGGATGACAACATCATGCATGCGAATGGACTCCAGATCCAGGGCTCCCAGCTGGTCTGCCAGGTATAGTTATCTAGGTTGTGCACTGCCCAAGGGCATCCAACCTCAAGCCCCTTTTGGCCGGGCTCCCTGAGGTTTCCACACCCCAGGACCATACCCCGCTCCCCAGCTTGCCTGGCACAGCCACTCCGTACACGGCCACGTCTGTCTGGCCCAGCAAGCGGCTGAGCACACCTTCAACCTCCGTGGTGGAAACATTCTCCCCTCGCCAGCGGAAGGTGTCCCCGCTGCGGTCCCGGAAGTACATGTAGCCAAGCTCATCCATCACCAGCACATCACCTGGTGGAGGCCAGAGGGCAGAGATAGGACCGCGGCCCCCATCCCCACGGCCAGCCCCCAGGCCCCTGGAGGCTGTGCACCTGAGAGGTAGGCGCTGTCACCCTTGCGGAAGACGCTGTGGGCAATCTTCTTGCTGGTGGCGCTCTCGCTGACATAGCCGTCGAAGCGGCGCAGTGGGTCCTGCTGGTTGATCTGGCCCACCAGGAGGCCAGGCTCCCCTGCGGAGGAGGCCAAACTCAGCCTCAGCCCGGTGGCCGGGCGGCGGAGGCCCCAGCTCCCCAGGGGCGGCCGGGGGGGGGGGCTGCTCACCGGGCTGGCACGGGATGCAGAGGCCCTGGGCATCCCGCAGCAGCTCCATGGTGTCCTCGTTGACCTTCACCAGCTGGATGGGGTACACGCGGGTCAGGATGCGGCTGCTGAAGCCACAGGAGCCAACCTGGGTGGGTGAACTGGGTCAGCAAGGCCTGGGTGCGCAGGGGAACGTCCCCAGTGACACGGCGCCTCCCCTGACCCGGGGGCTTGAGCACCCCTAGGTCATCTCAGGTCTGGGACCTCTGCAAAATCCTGTTGGTAAGGGCAGCATCCTGTCCCCAAGCCCATGCCACCTTCCCGTCCTGCCTTGCAGACTCGCGCAGGGACCTGGCTGGAGGACACTTTCTAGGCCATAAGATCCTCCAGGCCAGGAACCACCGCAGCAGTGCCCCCAGCCCTGCCCTGCTCAGTGCTGTGGACAGTGATGCTTGTTCAAGGTGACTGTGTCGCTGGGCAGTGAAGGGAGCGTTACAGCAGCAACCCAAGCGGACGCCAGCGTGCCCTCCAGAGCTGGCCATTCAACAGACATGCGCAGTGAGGACCCTTGCTTTATCAGGGTTACCACGCCGCACCCCCAGCCTCCAGGTGGAGCCAAAGGGGCGGGGCATGCGAGGGCGGAATGGACGTAATCCCGGTTGCTAACCCTGGACGCATGTGTCCGGCTTACAGAGCCACTACCCGGGGGCTCCGCGCTCAGCTCGTGCTGTGATGTGTGATGATGACACAGTCAATAGCTGGCAGCCCCGTTCACAGAGGAGGAAAGCAAAGCCCCAGAGCCTCAAGTGACTTGCCTAGGAGAAGAGCTGCACCTCCACGTGCCTTGGATCCCCAGGGCCCTGCTCGCCCTGCAGACGTCACACCGAGACAAGGCTCAGGCAGGCTGAGGCCCTTGCCCGGGCCCACAGCTATGCTGTGACTTGAACCCCTCCCACTTAGGTGTGACGGTCACATCGCTAACAGTACACACCGGGCAGGGTCTATGCAGGCCTCGCGTTGCCCCTCTAGTGTGCATCGGGGACCCCACAGGTCCCCACACCACACCCTACCCCCGGGCCCAGGGAGCCTGCCGTCCCCGGGCCGCCCTGGGGCTGATGCCCTGCGGCGCACACCTTGCCGTCCATGTTGGCGATGCTGCAGTTGCACTCGGTGGCCCCGTAGAACTCGCCGATCTGCTGCACGCGGAAGCGCTGCGTGAACTCCTCCCAGATGGCCGGCCGCAGCCCGTTGCCCACGGCCAGGCGCACGCGGTGCCGCCCCTCGGCCTCGCGCACTGGCTGCTTCAGCAGGTAGCGGCAGATCTCCCCGATGTACTGCACCACCTGGGGGAACCGAGGCTGGGCTGACACGGGGACCTCGCCAGCCTGGGAGCCAACCCAACAGGGATGATGACGGCTGCAACATCAAGCCACATCCTCAGTCACCACCTGGGACGCTGCTTCTGTCTGCAGGCAGCTTGGCCTCACACTTCTCAGTGGTCTGTCCCTCCGTCCCCCCACACTGCTTCGTGGGGATGGCGCATCCTGGTCGAGCCTCGCGGGCACACGGCCCCAAGGCCTGCGGAGGTTTGGCACCTCACAGGGCAACGCTCAGCCCAAAGGCCACGCACTTGATGCTGTCCCCAGAGCCTCCACTGGCTGAGCTTGGCTGCCCACAGGGTCGCCCCTGGGGTGGAGCCACTCAGCTGGGGGGGGCAATGGGACTGAGACCCCGCAAATCATCTGCTCACTGGCGCCCCCTTCAGAGTACCTCCCCTCTCTGTCTCGCCTTTTCCATCCCCACTCGGCTTCCTGGGCTCACTTCCGGGGTGCCCCAGGGGCCCTGGAGGCCTGTTGGGGCCGCCTTCTGAATGACTGCTCTCTCTACAGACAGAAACTGAGGCTCACTTGGGTAAATGGACCAAGGTCATGGAGCTGGTGAGTAGCAGAATCAGGTTTGAAGCTGGTCAGAGTCCAAAGGAAGCAGCTGCTGCCCGGGACTGACCACCAGGCTGCTCTCAGCACGTCCAGACACAGAATCAAGTGCAAAACCAGCATGTGACCACCTCCACCTGGCCCTCTCTCCTCCTGTCTCCAGAGCTCCCTCGGCTCTGCTGCTCCCTCCGCTCAGTCTCCGCCTCAGGGACTTTGCACATGCAGTACTTTCTGTCTGACAGCAGCTCCCTCCAAATGCATCTGCCCAGGTCCTCGGGTCTCAGCTCAAATGTCACAGCCACTGAGAGGCATTCCCTGCAGGTATTTACTAAATATCTGAGAATATACGAACACGTGAGCACACAGCACCTGCCAAGCACAGCGCCTGGAGATGAAGGCCCCAAAGCCCAGAGAGGAGGGGACACAGTGCACCCAGATCACACTCCCATGGAGAGCTCTCGCCCTGGGTTCCCAGACCTGAACCACGGGTCTCCGGGAGAGAACGGGGAACACAGCCTGGGCTACCCAGCCAGCCCAACTTGATTGGTTTAAGGATGGGCACTGGACCAGAGTTGAGCCAATGAGAATCAGCACTGGAAAGTTAGAAGAGCAATTCCTTCCCTCCTGGAGTTGCCCAGGACCCTCCTGGAGACCAGGTAAGGAAGGAAGCTGACCACTCAGGAAGCCAAGAGAAAGCTGAAAACCAGAAATGGAAACAGATGGAGGCCCTCCTGGATCAAAACATGCCTGAAGCTGTCCCTGTGTGCCTCGCCATTTCTATGAGTAATTCCCTTCCTGAGAAAACCAAGGTTTAGTTTAGATGTGGGGTTAGGATTTTGCTTCCTTTCCACCGACAAAGTTCCGCCTAAATTCACAGCTGCCCCCCAGTCTTTTACCAGGTGATCAGAGCAGCGCTCAGCTCCTAGCTTTTCAGCTGAGGCCCAGTCACACAGCAAGAGCAGACAGTTGATGGTTACTGCCAGCTGGGACTGCAGACAGACTCAGAGCCAAGGGGAAGACGTGGAGTCGCCAGAGAAGCAGGCCCTGGGTCTCTGTGCTGTGACCTCTAGTCTGCAGAGCTGCACCTGGACAGGGACCAGGAACAGGCTATGACCTAGAACCCCAGCTGGGGCTCCCCTGTGCCAGGGGACCTCGTACCCTGAAGGCACACAGTTCAAGTGGGGAGACGCACAGCACGCTTGGCCTGTGCTTGAAGATATGTCGGGTCACAGCTTCCTCTTCTGTGGAGCTAAGGAGAGCCGGTTCTAGATGACAGCCTGCGGCCTCCCTCTGGGCCTCCCAGGCCACTGCGAGGGGCCTGTGGACATGGCTGCAGACTCACAAGCGGTTCCTCCCACGCTCCAGCCAGAGGCGGATTCCTGGGCCAAAATGCATGCTCTTGTTCTCTGGGTATTCTCGACCTTCCAAGATCCTGTCCCTGTGCCCTACAGAGCCCTCAGTGTTCGCCACAGACCTTTTCTTTGACACAAAAGTCCTGCTTCTCGGAAACTGACGGACAGGCTTTGAAGGGCTGGGGGACAGTGCACAGTGGCTCAGCAAAATGCAAGGACAAAGGCAGAGCCCTGCCCACAGGAACCTGCCAAACAGAGGTGAACTTGGAGCTGGTCAGGTGTAGAAGCTGGAGGTTCTCAGCCAGGTGCCAAGCCACTCCCCAGGGACACTGTGGTCAAGGGGGTCACCCCTGGCACCTTGTGGTCCCAGGCCAAGGACGCTGCTAGGTATCCTAGGGGACACAGGACAGCCCCCGCCTCAAAAACTGACCAGTCCCGAAAGTCAACAGGGCCTGGCTAAATGCCAATGTGCTGCACCCAATTCCCAGTGTGTGTGAAATGCTGTGACAAAGGACCATGCTAGGGGACGCTCCAGCAATGTCTAGAGTGGGAAAGCGTGAAGCTCAGTACATAAATGACAAGGACCGAATGTCCTGGGCGGGGCGGGGTGGTCCAGCTGAAGGGTCCTTCACCAGCTAGTCCCCGCAGGCTGCTGGATACTCATTCTTTTAAATATAGAAACAAAGAAAAAAGCCACTTTTGACCTGATGAGTTGGGGATTGGGGTTGGGCCACTGCCCAGATTCCTGATGACACTGAGAAATCACTGTCACTCTGTGGTTGTGCCCATGGGTGCTGAGGTTATGTCTTAAGGAGTCCTTACATGGGGGCGCTCAGCGTAGGGCCCTTGCCCAGCATCTCTGGTTCCACCCAACGCTGCCAAACCAAGTCTTCTCCATCAGACACGAAAGGCCACAGGGGGACCCCTCCGCCGACCCTCCCCCCATGGAAGGTCTGCTGCACGCAAATCCAAGAGGCAGGAGGCTGGACGGGTGGCTGCCCAGGGAGGGGAGGGGCTGCCAAGGGACGGCTCCTTTTAGAAGAGGGAAACATTCTGGAACTAGACGGCCATGACGCTGCAGAGCCCCGGGAAGGCCTGGCCGCTGAGCCCACATGCGGCCAACGACTGGTCACTTCAAATCGGCAAATTCTATGAGTTCCACCTCAAAATCTTACAAGGGCCTCATCGTTCCGAGGCTTTGCTGACACGTCCTCACAGGATCCCGGCTGCTACGACAACACCGGGTGTGGCCGAGGGCCGAGGGGCAGCACGGGGCTCCCCCGGCCTCTGGGGCAGGGTGACAGGGCGCCCACAGACCCTCCGCTTTCCTGTTCATATTCAAGCACGTTGGGACTCTCGTAGCCG